CACTGGATACACTCCAGCAAAGCTGATGTTTGGTCAGGAACTTCGGTTGCAAGTGGATCTGATAACAGGACGCCCAATTTACAAAGAGTTGCCTGAAAATATGCCAGAGTTCGTAAAAGTGTTATCTGAAAGGATGGTGATATTCATCATCAAGTGCATTCAAACTTGAAAAAGTCTGCCGATTCCATGAAGCTATGTTATGATAAGAGATCTACTGAAGTCAGCTTTGTACCAAAAGACAAGGTGTGGTTGTATAATCCTAGGAAGACCAAAGGGAAGTCTCCTAAGTTGTCTTCTCCATGGGAAGGCCCATATGACATAGTGGATCATCTCTCAGACGTGACTTTCCGAATAAAATGTGGTCGGCGAGGTGAGCCAAAGGTAGTGCATGCCAGCAGGCTTTGGGATTATCATGGTCCAGGACATTTCAGTTGGAACAAAAGGAACAATGGAATCAATGATGCTGCTGAAGACGTGTCACCTGAAAAAGCCACTGTCGAGGAAGAAACTCTTCCCTAATTTAGAGAAGGGAAACAATGAAGCCCTTAATGAAGTTACTACCACTGATGTGACTGTTACCAGTAATAAGGCATTTTCTGATGGAGCAGATAAACCCCATGTGAAGCAGAAGCCAACGAGACGGAGACCAGTACGGAAGAAGATACGTCCCGTAAAATTAAGAGACTTTGTTGAATTTTAATTTTGTGTTTGTAAATTCTGTACATTTAATCAAGTTGTTGTTAATTATCTATTGGTTTAATGTAAGTGGCTATTGTTCGGGATGAACAATACTAAGGAAGGAGCAGTGTTACGACAGTGGAAGTCAAGTGACGCTGGGAACACGTGATGAGTTTCTAGAAGGATCATGCCAGACTCCCTCTATTTTAATATATATAAGCCTGGCAAATAAAGTGGAGATAATAATAGCAGACAGGGAGATATAGAGCCAGATAATCGAGTCAAGTCATAAGTAAAGTGCGTGAATCATTGTGAATTACAGCGTGTGTTTAAGTTAAAGTGACTGTGGAAATTAAGTGTATTGCAAAGTTGTATTGAGAAAGAATTTACTAGTTTTATTTAAGAAAGGACTTGTATCTCTGAACTTCTCTTAACAAACGACCAGAGACGTAATAGTATGCTATAATTGCATATGCAAAGTGATCTTCACAAATGTGAAAAGCTTAGACTTCACAGTTTGAACGACCATAACTTGGCAAACACTGGCTTGATCAGTATGAAAATTCTCTGGTGCTCCAAAGCAAGTTATCACTGTTCAGTTAATTCATTAGTGACTGCTTAAATGCTGATATATCCACCAGCATATAAGCTTCAATTTGATTTTTGAACTAGTCTATTATCACTGATAGTTTTGGAAAGAGGTCTGGTAGGTGTTCAGGGATATCTTTTACAATGGAAACCTACAACTCTCTTTTGAACGATTCTTTTTTCTGAGTATCTACACCATTACTCTACATTTGTTTTGGAATACAGCCATAAAAGTTTCTACACAGGTTTGTTGTAGTGTGAAAGACTTCCCGGTGTCTTCCAATGTGTGTATCATGTAATATTCAAATAATCTTAGGTTGTAGAGACTTTAAAGTTATTAGATGCATCATTGGTCAGGTCTCATGCTTGTGTGAGTTATAGTGATGATATAATATTTCTTTCTGTACATCAATGAATTCATCATGGTGAAGTTTTACCTTACTGCACAGCATGCAGTGCCCAAACTAGATCTGGCTCCTTCACTTGCTTCTCTTGAATGTTCTCTATCATTATATTTAGCATTTATTCTTCAATAGAATCCTCACTATTCGTATGGCTTAACATTATAACTGATATTTTAGTTTTCTTAGCAGCATTGTGTCCTGTATCTGGACATATGACAAATGGACAAACTTTCCATTGGCGTTGAGAATTCCATTTGAATGTCCATGCTTCCAGCTTACTTAGTGCTGTGTAGAGGAATTGTACCAGTGCAACATTGTTATTTTCATTGTCCAATGCGTGATAATATCTTTTGACTCTTTAAGTTTCATGAACCATTTTGTTGATATATGATATAGCATTCTAATAGTGGTAAATATGCTTAACAAATACTATAACTGTATGAAGTCCTTATTCTGTCATCTAGTGACAATATTTTATGGATATTAGCATATAGGTTGCATGTGCTAGAAAATACTTTACACCATTCTATACTTGTAAAAGCTCTGCAAATGTCATCCATTTGCCAAAGTTTTCAGTTCAATTCATCTTAGCTACAGAAGTTAATGACTGCACGCTAAATATGATTCAACCTTATTTAACTCAAAAACTGTTACTGTTCTAGGGTAACAGTTAGCCAAAAGTATCTGCAGTACAAATAAGTTACCAACCCAATATGGCTTTGGACCTTTATCTTAACTGTAGGTTTGTTCCAGTCTACCACTTCTTTTATTTTGGCAAGATCTCCATCTCCATTCACTGTAAGTCCGTAAAATTGCACTTGTATTCATATTAGCAAACATTTCTCTGGTTTCAGTTTCAGAACAGATTGTATTAAATATTGAAACATCATGCTCAGGTTTTCAGTTGTAGTTTGAAATGTGTGGCCAAACACTAAAATATAATTACATACTTAATACACTACTCCTGTTGCAAACCATAAAATGCAAGTTTCATTAGCCTCTCCAAAGTAGCTGGTGTGATATACAGGCAAAATTGATAATGAAAAGCTTATAAAAGATTTTCAGACTGTTGATACAATCTTCCTTATCATCCTATAGTCCAGTGATTTGCCAGGATTCCCTCCCAAAAAAAACACCTAGTGAAATAAGCCAGCAGGATCCTTCCAATCCAACTAAACAATCATCTTTGGATGACAATGGAAGCTCATTTACAAATGTACCCAAATTAAATCTATAGAGAACTTCAGTATATATATATATATAACATTGCTCCCATTGCACATTGTGTAGTGTGAGTTCTCTCAGCTGATTCAGGTCAAATGGCATAATGAGAAATCCATACAAGCTTTCTTCAGTATTAAATGTGATCAAATTTGTTTGACCTGCCAGTAACCAGTAGCAAAATTTCAGTGGTATCCTTCCAACATATCTAAACATTCATCTATGTCCTATCACATTCACCCAAATGGAGCACAAATGAAATTTAAGCATTCATCCTTTCTTCCTACAATCACCAGTATTGGCTACATTTCTTGTGCTCCAAGAAAGCCTACATCGCGGTCTCTTTATAAGATGCATGGCTCTAGTTTCTATATGAAGCTCAGTCATGTTTGTTTTTCCCAGCCAACCACCTGCCACAACAAATACATTGGTAAGTTCCATCAGTAACTTTATAGGTTTTTTCTATTCACCTACAGTCAGACTGTCTATACAATCTTTATCCAGTAAAATCAGATGTACTGACAATCATGTAATCATATGCCGATGCCGTGTGACTAAAGTAATGCTAGCTATACTAGTAGTTTCAGTTACTTCTTCATGCACCATATGAGTAATCATGTGAACCAGAAACCAGACAGATTCTTGGTGTGTATTTGCCATTTAATAATTTATTTACTTTTCCAGAATAACGTAAGTTCACCTTCCACTTTAAGCGTTTCACAAGAAAGTATACTAACTATGCTAACTTCTCGTATTGTTTGTAATTACTTACATTAAAGAAACTATTTCATGAATCAGTAATCAAATCTTATACAATGCATGAAACCTTGCTTCAGAAGTTAAACTGAAGAGTTAACCTTGGACAAGGCCAACGAGGAAAGAAATTCACTTATGCAAACTAAGAAGTAGCTTGTGGAAATGTATTTTGTATAACACATCCGTGGAACTGAAAAAAAAAAGTATTATATTTTTAAGTAAAAGTTCACTCGTGTGTTTAATATTTAATTCACTCTCATAAAAATAAGGATGTTTCTGCCAATAATGCTCCTGTAACTTCTCAGAAATGTTTATTGTAATAATATAAGCAACAATATTCATGTGAACACAGGAAATTCAATTCAAATTCTATTACATATATCCAGGTGTAAAATTTTGAATAAAAGTTTATGTGGGAGTTTAAGATTATCATTTTACACATTAAAACATTCTAAGTTAACAGAAAACAGTTACAATTAGTTTTCAATTGGAAAGTAAGTATATTTTTTTTAGAGAACTTTACGAAGAATAAGTGCTATGATTTTCAAATCACATCAGTAAGCCTTGGATCTGAGCCTAATTTTTTCTCAACTGCTTGATATCTTAAAGGAGCCATTTCTTTGTGTCTGTGAAAAAAAAAATGACGAAAAAAATCATTAATTAGTAGTCAATTTATTACTGTATAAAAACATATTAATAATTGCCAATGTAGTAAAATGTATGTTTTTCAAGATATATGAGCTTTTGATTTTAAAACACTTTGAAGAAAAAATTTTTATCCTAAATGAAAACATGCCAAAGAAAAGCAATTAGAACTTGCTATTAAAAAAACAATATAAAATTTTAAATCTTGAATATAGTTGTTCTAGTGCAAAGCTGAACAATGGGCTATCTGCACTGTATCCATTTCAGGAATCGAACCCCAAATATTAGTGTTATAAGTCCTGAAGCTTACCACTGGGAGACTGTTTAAATGTAAAATATTGTCAGAAGTTTCTTAAATTATAAAACTGTTATAAACATTTGTAAAAATACATTCAGAAATAAAATTACAGAATGTGTGTTTTGTTACACAATAAATATATATTAATTTTTCTTTTTTTACACATTTTTGATACATTACCTGTTCAGGCGTAGCTCTAAGACATGAAGCTGGAACATTGTCTCATTGATAAAAGTTCTGTGTTTTTCTTCTTCTTCTTTTGTAAGAGACATTTGATGGTCTTGATACCAATGATGTTGTTTCTCTATCTCTACCATTTTCTAAACAAATGATGTTATTATACACAAAATGATTGATTTCCTGTTAAGAAATTCAGTTATAAACTTTATCTGTTAGCTACATAAGTTACACCAAAACACACAAAATGGATTACAGTACAGTAATACTCGAAATCTTCTTATGAACTATTTCCTTTAGTGTTTTAAAATTCATTAGTTGGCGCATACATATATCACAAAAGCTCACAAAGAAACTATAGAATATATTTTAAAATTTGATGACTTGTGCTCCGAAAGTTTGTATTTAATTTTATCTATTTATATACTTTTTTTTCTAATTTAAGTATGTTAATTTATTTCCATCTCACTTGTTTCTGATATTTCTAGTTTTGTTTTGCTTGTCTCAAAAGTGACTCCTTTGTTTTCAATCCAAGTAATAAGCCTATTTCTATATTTTTGACTAATTAGTTAACAATGAAGTTCTGAGTCAAATGGGGCAAAACTTGTGTAACTTCTGGCTACAAAGTAGGTCCTCACAAGATTTAAGATCCAGAAAAGTTGAAATAAGATATAGGGATCTGTAGGGCTTGATCTGAAGAGCCATTTGCTATGACATTTTCTATGGATATAGTGATAATAGTGTTGTTTTTTTTGTAATGGTGTTCTATCTCACCACTCTGTCTATGGCTGTCCATGTCTTCTGATGATTTTGTGAACATAATTGGTTTGTAGGCAGACATGCTTGTCTTTGGCCATTTGGTATTTTTATTAGCACCAATGGAAATTCTTAATTGGCCTCTTTTACTGTTTTCTTTCTCTGCAATTGGTATCTCATCATGATGATATTCACATCTGCTGCACTGGTTACACATTGAGCATTTTCCTACCTTATTCTTGCAAATAAGCTTTGATTCTGATGCTTCTGACATCTGTCTTCCAAGGTATGTGCAATCTTGACAGAAAATATACTGGCTGTCCTTACAGTTCCTGATAATTATTCGCTTTGTGAGAGTCTCTCTATATCTGTGTTGTGTTACAAGAACACTATGACCTCAGGCAAAGTTTAATAAAAATTTCTTTTTCTGCCAAAAAAGAAAATCATTGCATTATCTCATGCTGTTTAAAACTTTTGGGTTGATAAGTACTGTTGCATTCCTCATGTGGCTGTATATTCTAGAAAATTTGCAAGAAAGTTGTGAAAATAATGGCTGTGTGCTTCCCAGAGGTGAAATACTGGTTGACTCTGAGATTCTTTGTTAATTGTAAGCAAATTTACAACTCAGAACAAGTCCAATACAGATGCTTTCTCAGTAGACTGCTTACCTGATCAAAAAGAGACTGAATGGCATTTGCTGTGTTAACTAATCGCTGTCTGAAGTCCTGCAAACACTTCTGCTGTATCTTCTGAGCTTCTTGTTTAGTCAGTTGACCACTTAAGCCTTTTTGAGCTAGGTAGGGGCCTAACAAGTCCACTACAACTTCTTGTGGCTGACTCTTGACTGCCTCTTTTTGCTGATACATTTTGTAGTCAAATCAGAATTTACATCATAATAAATAAACATTTAAAAATTCCAATCAACAAACCAGTAACAATATCTTTACTTAATTTGTTAAGTTGATTGAACATAAAACATCTCTAACATAAAGTTTGAAAAATTCAATCAAATGAACTAGTAAAAAACTATTTATATCTTTTAAAGTTTATATTAACAGCAACCTATAATTCAAGTGCAATAATTTAGTATTGGATAATATAATTATAAAATTACATGTGCATTGTAAAATTCTGGATACCCAGTTATTATGATCAGTAACTTTTAGAATTAAAAGAAAAATAATGGTTAATATATAGAAAGATTGCCATGCTTAATTCCATGTTTTAATAAAGAACCAACCAAGTACTGTCGTCTCTTCAAAGCTTTCTCATTCTTCAGGACATTGTACACAGAAGCATAAAGTTCTGAGTGAGCTTCTTCCTGAGTTCGATCATTTAGAATAGCGATGACCTAAAATAATGATAGAAATATTAAACATCAATGATAGGGCTATTTTACCGAAAGATAATTTTTAATTATTGACTGAAGAATAATTTATTATACATAATTGACCAAGATAAATTACTGACTGAAATAAGTAACCTGTTTGAAAACCAAAACCATGGGATTTTTTCTTAAGAACCTATCAGGTACACTAATGTTCAGTAAGAAGCCATAAGTTTCTACAGTAAAGTAGGTTCCAAAAATGTTTTGAATATAATAAGTTGAAAACAGACAGCAAAGAAAAGCTAGGCACATACAAGTTAACAAACAAAACATATCTTTATTCACAAGAATGTGTCTATGTTCAACACTAAACTGGCCAGCCTCTTACTCTTTCTTCTGGCTTCAGCTGGTGTTGAGGTAAGACAGCTTTTTAAAACTATGTATGCACAAGTAAAAACTGGAAGAGTGATCATCCACACGGGTAGGAAAATGTTATACTGCTCTTTCAAGTTAGACAGATGGGTCATCGTGCAGTATCCCTTATTTCATAGATAACAAAGATCAACAACTATTTCAAATGAAATTTTCAAGGGAGGAAGCACTCAGTATCTGTTCCATCCCTTGAGATGAGATTTTCCTGCCACAGGGAATGTACGTAGACACAGGACTAAGATTGTATATGCTTCTATGAGTTGTTGTACATGTAATCTTTCACTAAGTAAATGATTAGTAATTGTTTACAACTTTTCTACATTTCAGTTAACAAAGATATCGTTAACATAAACTTAAAAAATTACAATGGTGCAATTACAATGGAATAGTCAGCAATTTTGTCAAAGCCACAGCCACATTATGCCCACTCAACAACAAACTGCTTGATCTCTGTAAAAACACAATGAAATATTTGGAGTGACCTTTGACAAACAACTTCTCCAACCATGATAACCAGCACTACAAAAGGCATCAATGCATTTAAAGGAAAGTTGCTGCACGAAATATAGCTGATGAATATCATCTTTTTATGATCTACCAAGGTCTTATCTACTGCATCCTGGATTATGTTACATGTGAAATGTATGATCTAGACTTGTTAATACAGCTAAATAAGACTGAAAAATGTACTTTAACTACCCACATCCAAGCAGTATGCTGTTGCTAGTGGTAGGGCAAATAGGATTTTAGGTTGAATTATTAAATACAAATCTAAAGAGGTTATAATTTTACTGTATAGGTCACTGGTTAGGCCACATTTGGAGTACTGTATTCAATCTTAGGCTCCTTACCTTAGAAAGAAATTGAATTGTTGGAAACAGTACAGAGGAGGAGAGCTACTAAAATGGTGCCTGAGATGGAGGGGTTGTCATATGAGGATAGGTTGAAATCTCTGAAATTGTTTTCTCTTGAAAAAAAGAAGTGTTGGAGATGATCTGATTGAGGTGTTTAAGATTGTTAAGGGAATTGATAGTGTTGATGAATCATCTTTTTTCATACTTAATGGTGAGAATGATAGGACAAGGGGACACAAATATAAATTTTGGCAGGGTAGGAATCATCTTCAGCTAAGACAGTTTTATTTTCCTAACAGGGTGGTTGGACTTTGGAACAGATTGCTTTCAGTTGTTGTGGGGGCTTGATAATTATATAAATGATAAGGGCTGGCTTTGAGGTATTTTTTTCTGTTTTTTTTTAAATAGCTTTAGTTTAGTTTAGAGGTTGGGACAGCTTAGAATGACCAATAGGTTCCTTATTGTTCCAAAATATTATGTTATATTAGTTCCAGTTTATCTATCTCATCATATATATATACATTCAAAACATTTTAATGTTTCACCTTAATCTTAGTTACAACTAGAACTTTATACATTCTAGTCTATAATCTTAACTCCAAAGCTCTGAAACAGCTAGTGATTCCAAACACAACAATGACTAAACTACAAAATCTAAGACAAATCTTGTAAAAAAATTTCTGAATGCATGACAACCACTGTACCAGACAGACACATTGTAGTACTCATTACACTGATATCCAAAAGGTAACCAAAACTTTCTACAAAAATGCAAATTCAAGACTGTTATTTGAAAAATAAATCAAACACAGATAGTAAAGGAAAACAAGTACACTACAGAGAGCAGAAAAACAAAACCTTTATGTGTGTTTTGTGTTGTCTCTATATATAATTGTATAAGTCTTAACTTACTAATTTACTAACTTCCTACTACAATCCACATAGAGATTTCTCACTGGGTGTTGGGGTAAGAGGAATCTTTTCTAAAACATCCATATAGGACAACAGACAGAAAGAATTATCATACACAGCAGTTTCAAATCATATAATGGGTTCAAGTGCAATGTATCATAATCCCAAATTACATATGTTGCTGGTTACTTTAAGCAACATATATGGGGGGGGGGGGGATCCAACTCATACAATTTGTACAGTTATCTATACTTTCACCCCTTGAGATAGTCATCCCAGGAAGCACACACAGGCACAGGGCTAAAGCGATACAAGCTTCTAGCATTACCCCCTGCCTATGTAAGTGACACATGTTTAGACCTTTAATATCTGGTTAACAAGAATCATAACTATATGCAGAACATCAGCTTCAAATTTTATAAAGTACCCGAATTTATCTAAATAGATGTATTCTATACTAGCTATAGAAGTGTAAAATTAGTAGCTTTTTGAGCTACAACAAAAATAGTCACTTTTTTGTTTGACTAAAGGAATACAAAAGATATAAAAACTTAAATCTGTAATTTGAAATAAAACCAAGATCAGAGACAAAGAAAAAATATCAAAATACATACAATAAAAGAAGCAATCACCATAATATCAAATTAATGTAATCATCCATCAGCTATAAACTAAACAATAGAATATTTAGTAGAGTTCTTTGTCCTTTATAAATTGGGAAAATTAAAACATCTTAGACTGATTATGAAATCTGACTCTTAATAGAAATTGTATAGAACTAAATCTGTTTTAAAAACTTCTGTCACAAATGAATTAATTTCAATAGGCTTTGTTAATTTGCAATTTGGATGTTTTAGGAGTAGAAATATGCAATAATTATTAATATAATTCTATTCCTATACATATTTATAGATCTTAAAGTGAATTTCTGTACTTTTTATTTTATTATTATTACTGATTAATACTCTTTTAACCATTACTCTGTGTATTATTGAATTCCACACAACAAAGCTTCTTACCCACCAATTAGGCTCCAGTAATACACAAAAACAATAACATGTACAAAAATCTAACTAGTTATTTGAATTAAAAAATATGTCTTACAAATTTTCATAATGATGAAATAATATTATGAATGAAAACTTTCATCAAATTAAGTCATCAAATATACAGAACCAATACTAAGAATTTTCACACCTTACCTCATCTTCTGATTGACGAATCTTGGCTACCACTTGTTTCTCTTCCTCCATCAGTTGAGAAAACTTTAGATATAGCTCTAGATGGGTGAATGGTACAGCCCTGTAGTCTGCCTATAAATATTAACTGTTGGTGTGTGTGTGTAGCATTTACAGATACAAAGCAATTATCTACAGTATAGTTTTGCATATTTGTTTCATCACATTTTATAACATTATTGTAATATAGACCTTTAAAAATCTTAAAAACTTTTCTACATGTGTGGTAATTTGTTATGGAACACTGCAGCTGTTATGCCATTTTGTTGGAATCTAATGCAAATAGACAGTTAAGGTACTTTGAAATATCTAAGTATCTAATTCTGATAAGTTTAATTAGTGATGAAGGCTTAATTAACACCGAATCATATAATGCATATTGAAGTATAGAAAATTGATTTCTTAAATTTTTACTATTACTTAAGAATATAAATATGAACTATACAGGGTTTTGAGTACAATATATGAAAATTATTTTAAAAAAGCAAATCACCAACTCACATGACAACCACAGTCAATATATAGCCACAGTAGAACAGCATATATCAAAACTAAATTTTGACATTATTTGGTGTTTTGTAAGTAATATGATGCCACCAAAAATTGGTTAATTCTAGGAATGGTATGTAACAGCTTTTTTCAAAGCAAAATATTCATACACACACAGATCATAAAGATTTTCAGATTGGGAATATCCCTTGTACTTACAGGGATTGGTAAAGAAAAGAACCTAGATCACCTTGGTGCACCAAGAAAAAGACTTAAAACAAGCCATACCATAGCTGTAGCAAGCAAAGTGCAGCATCTAATAATAGGTAAGAATCCAGGAACACAAAGGTCAGTGGAAAAATCTGTCTATGTGTTCCAGACAAAGCAACACAAATTGTTTACACAAATTTATTTTACAATATTTGTGTTCAACCATCACTTAACCCAAGCAGCTGAAGAATAAAATGGGTATCCATGCTATTTAATACAAAAACATACTGGGCAAGTTTCTAGACACAGCACTTATGGACTTCTGTGTGATCAGAATGTTGAAATGGGGGCTAAGAAACCATCTTCCTCGTACATTTGATAGAATATGAAAAGCACACAGGGTGGAGTACTGTGCTTTGGAAATGACAACTTTATGACGGAGCTTCTTGCAGTTTAACCTATGCTGCAGGGCTGTTGTCAAGATATATGGTCTTCAAAGAGAACATGATAGGGCATGGTGACATGGAGTGTAACAAAATGGTGCGGCTCCAAAATAATTTTAGTATAGTGTACTCAACCTGTGTACACACAGTAGTGACCAGTACAATCGTATAAATGATAGAATTACTTTGTAACTGTTCCACATATCTGGCTTCAATGTGAACCCTTGACCTTTATCATCCTCTTCTGATGGCTTAAAAAATTCTAAGAAAGATCCAGTTATAAAATTTTTGTCTCTATGGAATTTTACGTAAATGTGATTTTCAGCTATGTTGAAAGTTCTTGTCTCAACATCAGCATCTGCTTCAAGGTTTTCATTTCGTCTGAAACGTTCTATCACTTTCTGGATTAGAAAATGTAGAACATAGACTCAGTGTAGTTTTATATTATCAAGAACAGATAAAAAGAATATAAGTGAATCAATAAAAACAGCAATACATATATACATGTATGTCTTATTTATATTAAAACACATCACAATTGAAAAGAATAGAAAATTACTGTGATCAATACCAATGCTCTATTAAATAAGCTAGCAGAACTTAAGACCCATACATAGGACTCACTATCCTGGCTAAAACATTATCCCCCTAACACACGGAGCAATAGCCAACTTTGTACTGATGGCTTGTATATAATACTCCATCTGGTTATAAAAATACTTTAATGAACTAGATGGTGACTTGTTTACCTGAGCCTTGAAGCCCCAGTAGCTCAGTCAGTAGAATATAGGTCTCAAAACCTAGTGTAATTGGGTGAGGCCTTGAGATGAAGTCCTAGTCAGGGAAGATTATTTTTTATAGCCCTAATATATATCTGATGAATATGATGATTGGAAAGTATATAAAATGTTACCTTTCCATAATTAGTAAAGAACACATATATTTATTTGTTATATTCTGATATATTTTTTTCTAAATTTTCATGGAGGTGTTCTGCATGTAGTTATTGACATCCTTGTAAACCAAATGTACAAAAGTCATAAACTTGCAGTTATTCTACAACTTTGACAAAAGATACATACCATAATAATTGTTGACTATGCCTTATAATAACTTGATCCTGTTTCTGTGTTTTGCCCCTGTGAGGTGAAATCTTGCTATTTTGAGGGGTGATACATTGATTCATACAAGTCAGTGAGAGTTGGGTTTATCTCTCTTTATTATGTATAATGGAAATGACTGTTGACATAAGGATTGTGGGATACTACACTAAGATCTTAATCTGACCTAGCAAACAAATATAAAAGCTTGCCTATTAAGTTAGAACTTACTATTAGTGAATAGAGATTTTGCTTTATTTGTTCAATTGTGTTTACTTGTCTCTCATTGTTGTTTGTTCGTTTTATTCTCCACATAATTTCACAATTTAGGGAACTGCTGTATTAAAGACACATATAACTTTCTCTTGAACATCAATGTATCTTAATACCACTTAACAACAGATCAAAGATTTATTTCCACATCATTCTTTTAAGTATTCTATTTCAAACCAGAGGCATGTATTAGACCATTGCTTCACCACTTTTTTAGCATTTAACACTATAACATTAAAGATTGTTTTTAATTTATTTTAAATCATTAAATCATTTGTACACAACATTAATCCCTTAAGCAAAAAATGTCACATAGATGTTTGGTTTATCAACAGATAAGTTCAGATATGCCCTTGAAGTTGGGCCTACTATTAGCTGTGCTTTAGTGTTTTTTTTCCTGAACTACAAGGACCTTGAGCTCCAAGTAAGCAGTTGTCCATCTGGATCTTTATATAATCCCTTCAACTACTGCTATAATGACTAAAGTAGGTATGAATTTTATGTTTAAAACTACACTTTTGTTTCTTTGTTTTCCTCTACTGACCATGTTAAATTTATTCTTTGCTTAACATTTCTGAACCTTTATTTTGCAGAAAGTTTTTGTTTTATTGCTGGACATCAGTGGATGACCTGAATACTACATTGTAAAGGACATCTTTGTCTCAACCAGTCCCCATATCCTATTTGGAATCAAGTGATTAAATTGATTCATTACCATGCAATCAGAGGTGCATATATATATATATATATACACACACGCACATAGAGTGGTTATAAAGAAACTCTGCAGTTCATCATATTATATTTCACAAACTGTATGACATAGGAAGGTGAAATTGAAAGGATGTTAAGGATATCACTTGGGTGTGAATACCACAGTTGTCACATGTTGCCACCAAGGGTGCCACCGTGGTTTCTTTTGCATATTTCCCATGAGTACAAATGGGCCTGTTGATTGCTGTGCAGCTCATTCACCTACCATAACCTGAAGAATGTGCAAAGAGGTTAATTAGTGAAATGTTGTTACATCAAAGGATGAAATGCTGAGGCAGCTCTCAGGGAATACCATAGAGTGCATAACATCTGCAAGGGGCCAGTGTTGTTATGTGCAAATTCATAAAAAAACATTTGAGTAGGAAAGTTGCTCTTGTGAAAAGCCATGTACAGGCAGACTACATGTTTTTGAGATATGGTATGCTGAATTGTGGAACTTTCTTTATAATCACCCTGTATTATAACTGACAAGCATATCTACTCATTATTATTATTTTTGACTAATTCAATTTCTGTGTTTTTACTTATTTATGGAGTGCATCCAACTTCTTAAAGAATGCTAATGCTACATTATAAGGTGCATATATCAAAGGTCTCCTGTTGTAGCAATTAACTTGAAAGTGATGAAAAGTAATACCCTAATTCACAATAGCATTCTGAGTCTGATATACTTTACTAACTAAGCTACCACATGTAACAACCTGTAACTTGAATTTGTCTTTGAGGTTATAATAGTGCTCTTATGTGATACTGGTTTACTACCTGTAATTCCCTTCATTTGTGTGTACATTGAGTACGTACATTATAAAGGTTAATTTAGAGTATGAGACCATGTATGTATACCCAAATGCAGGATGTGCTTATTACATTTAAATATAAGACTGTAAGTCTATAGATGGCGTACACTTGGACAAGTAAAGGATGCATTCAATTACTAACCAAATGGGATCACACATTCGATTTAAAGAAATACTCTTGTGACAGAATTACTTTTTTGGGGAGTTGCTAGGTAATTGATCATGAATTTTCATGTGACTTTGACCTGGATTTTGTACTAAATTTGCTATAATGTACAGTAAATAATGAAAAAATTTAGTTTACAGTTTCCCAGTGTTATACATCTGACACAAGTTCACTGCTATTTGTGCTTTATTAGAGATAGGACATCATAAATACCATCAAGTGTAAAAAAAATTCTGATGTATATTACAGTTTCTGTATTAGTGTAAAATTTCTACTCATTTCTACACATTTTGGGCATTAATCAATAATTAAATATCACAGAAACCCTTATATTGTTAAATAAACCACATCTAAAGATACAGCATTAGGAAGGTATAAAACTAGAACAGATACTGATACTACCACATTTTAATGGATTAACTCCAAAAAGAAACTAAATCTGAATTTGCATTTTGTATTTATGGCAAAGCTACTTAGGTTATCTGCCATCATTCCTAATTTATAACTACTGACCAGAAGAAGGCAGTCAGTCAGGAACACACTACTATCAACCATCCATACTACAGAATTGACTAACTGTTACTCTTATAATACTACCACAACTTAAAATGGAAGGGAATATTTTGTGGTATTGCATGGATTCCAACTCAGCTCATCAGCTCTGAAATCCAGAGGTCTACCATAGGGTCAACCCAATCCCAAGTAACGAAATACTAGGAATTTTAATTCAATGTGTCTCATAAGGAAAAGCCACAAATAACAGCAAAAACTGTTTCCCAATATACTAAAGTCAAAATAATCCTTATTCCACCTTTTTTTTTTGACATAAAATATTTTTTTACAAATAAATTATTACTATATATTTGAAATCTAAAGATATATACTTTGTAAAACACTGTTAAAACAATTTGTGAAACATAAGTACAGTCGTAATATGTATTTTCTCGAGTTTCTATGTCCACTTATCTTTTACTGAGATAAGCCAGTGGCTTTTAACAGTGAAATAAGATATATCATAATCTTATTTCAACCAGTGATCCTGCCTGCAGACATCCCTTCTGATTAGCAGTAATGTAAAAAAACAAAATAATGAGCTAATATAAGTTTTACTAAAAAAAATAGTAGTTTTAAATTAACTGGATTTTAAAATAACTTAAATTAAAATTTTCCAGTCAAACAAAAACATACTTAGAAAACCTAGTTAACTAAAGAACTGCTATGATCTTTACCACTACTGTTCTGCGGGAATCTTCTACTGGTCCAAATTTTTTTTCTTTAGCACCAAACTCAGTAGTCCTATGTTCCAGAAAGTCTTCTCTCTCATCAAATGCCTCCTCCAACAATGTTTGTCGTGATTGTCTCCACTTAAGACCATCGGGTCGAGAATGAGAATAGAAGATCATCATTCTTTCTGAATGTGGTCCATGATCATATGTTTTGTACTTGTGTTCTAAGTTCAAAATGTATCATAACATGTAATAATAAATATAACAACAACATACATATATATATATGTATATACAAGAACAGACACATAATACTCAGCAGTCAGGCTGTTTGTAAACTTTTCTCTGCAATTTATATTAAAATATCTCCTAATTATATATATAATGTTAATGTGTGTGAGTGTACATAACTAATATCTTTATGCACTGAAATATGCATATATGTAAAAGCTATTGTAAAATAACAAAGTCATACATGGGTTTTGCAATACAATGTCAAATATAAAGATTCTGCATTTTATCAACATAAAATATAGAATACAATACAATTCCAAAAATATATGTGTATTTAGAAATAACAATTTGGAATACGTTTTCAATATTTCTCATATATATTATGAAAAAATAAACAATAAATAATTAACTTTTACTTTAAATCTTGGTTTTAAAGTTTAAAGAAAGATCTTTTAATGGTTGATAATGTTGCGTGTCTGTTTGGAATTGAAAAAATAATTAATATAATTTGATAACGAAGATTGTGGTAAAAGCTGAATCTTTGTGTTTGCAATACACACTCTTTTTATGGAGTGTAGGATGTTTCTGGTATAGGCTTGCAATTAAAGTTTTCAAGAGATAAAAGATACAATCCAATATGTCAACAAGATGGAATTAATGTGTTGGAATTTTTAGAAATATACTGAGTTAGAAAACAAGGATTGATATATCTATATGAATTCCCTCTCTAATAAAGTTTAAGAATGAGATTAAATACCTGCTAGACTATCTGTTCTTCCTGAATTAAAATGTTCTATCACGTTTTCCATCAGTATGTTGGTAGTGCGAAGGTAAATATGATCCAGTCTGTTGGTATAATATTCTCTTATCTCTGTTAGTTGTGTAACTGTCAAAAAAATGATTCAATTTTCTTTCATATACTTACATGCTAAGAAAGACCGATTAAAGGCAAAAATAGAAGGGTTTAAATTACTGACTTTACAGATTAATTTTTGACCAAACAAATACAGGAGCCTTATGAGAAATAACAAATACTATTCATTTATGCTGATGACAATATCACTTTTTACAAGTAATGATTCCATCTTTTGCTCCTGCACTCTTAATGTCTTGATCATCTTATACTTTCACCCTTACTGATTTATCTTTTCTTAAATTAGATAAATTAAAACTAAATAAATTCACTGTTTATTTATTTACTATCAACTGTATGATTACAACTTAAAATATTATTAACATTTTTATAGAAAACCAATGATTCAGAACATATTTAAGGTAGTTCATATTTAATACAAAAAAGACTTGGTGTCAAATATTTTCAGTACAGGATTGCTTACATTTTAGGTCTGAATAAACTGATAACCTTCTGATAAGACCATCTTTCAACATGAATGGAGCATAATGTTCTATCTTTGCATGTTTATAAAACATTACTTTCTTCCCATGGGGAAATCTTTTCTGGAAATCTGCAAAATTATGTATATTTACTTATTGTACTAGAACTATGTACTATGACTTTATCAAGTGTTAAACACAAAATTATCACCAATATGAAACACCATGTTTTCTTAATGAAATACTGAATGAAATACGTTTTTAAAATGAATATTTACTTTTAATAGTTTAAAACCTGAAACAAAGTCTGCAAGTTTTCTATTATAATGGCAAATGTTTATAAACTGTAAGGGGTTTACTTATCCTGAGAATTGTTTACATTATAACCTGGTTTAGAAAAGTGTGGTATGACAGAACAGATTGAGTTAAAATTCACAGAGTATGACTACCAAATAACATATGGGCCACAATGTCACAAAACATCACCACCAGATGACATTGTACATGATCTGAATTCTATGCAAAAGCAGAACCTGATATAATATTTCCACTTCATTCAGATGTGTAGCTAATTAAAAGAATGCATCTACAGGAAGAAACTGCACTTCATACAGATGTGTAACTAAGTAAAAATAATGAATCTACAGGAAGAAACTGCACTTCATACAGATGTGTAACTGAGTAAAAAGGAATAAATCTACAGGAAGAAACTGCACTTCATACAGATGTGTAACTGAGTAAAAAAGAATGAATCTACAGGAAGAAACTGCACTTCATACAGATGTGTAACTAAGTAAAAAGAATGAATCTACAGGAAGAAACTACACTTCCTACAGATGTGTAACTAAGTAAAAAGAATGAATTTACAGGAAATAACTGCCTAAATGAAGCTCTAATATAAACTAGAAAACAATGTTGTGCCATCTGGCAGCAATTTACTTTTAGTATTCTGCATGTCATGATGGTCAGTTCTACTAGAAACAATGTTGTGCCATCTGGCAGCAATTTACTTTTAGTATTCTGCATGTTATGATGGTCAGTTCTACTTGGCCTATGAACTACAACTCAGTTGTAACTGTCTTTTTTGAGATGTATCTCACTGAACTGATGGCGAGACTTTATAAACACCCTATACGAGTATTTTACAAGCATATTGATTATTTTTGTTGCTCATATAAGATCTATACAAAACTTTTATTGTTAATTTACTATTCTCTACCACTCTTTATATGTATAATAACTAATAATTAAAGTTAAATCAATGAAAATTCTCTCTTTAAGCTGGGTTAGTATACCATACCTTCTACTGATATATTCAAGTGGTAAACCCAAGACAATGGAACTTCTGGGATTCCAGGATCTTCTTCAAAACTCTAATGTTGAGACCAAGAATTGAAAGCCAGTTTATGATAAAAAAAATTAATTCAAAATATTTTTAAAAACCTTATATCCTAAACTTTTCCACTTACCATCAAATCAAGTTTGGAAGACTTTACTTACTTATTTACTCTCATTCAAATATCAGTGGAGAAAGTGTTTATCAATTGTATTTTTAAAAACTAATCACTTACATCATTATCAGATTGCTTTTTGAGAAGTCTACTTACTTATTTTTACTCACTTAGAGTAGCCAGTAAGGTAAATGTTAATAAATATAAGTTTTAAAACTAAATCCTTAACAGTGAGAGATAGTATATGGAGGATTTTACATATTTATTCTCGCTTAAAGAGCAGAAAACAGTATTGCAAAGTTTGAGCTTTAAAAACTAAACTGTCATTATTGGTCAGTTTTGAAGTATTTTACTGGCTTATTATTTCTCATGATTTAAAGATTAATCAATAGGTATATTACTTTTAATAAGCCTGACTAAAAACCACTATTGAAAAGAAAATGACATAGATGGTTAGTCTCTAAGTTCAGATTTAGTTTTGGTATAGAAGCAGAAAATGTAGATTCCTAACAATATTCAGTTCCATTAATCTTAAATTTAATAAACCATATTAAGTTGTTATAAAGAAGCAAAGAAGTATGTAGCTGTTTCAATAAATTTCTAGATGTGAACATACCTCATCAGGTGGACTGCCCTTTACACCTGGAAACACACTCATAGGCTTGGTTTTCATGGGGATAAAACTTTCCCACTGATTACAGTCACCAAGTTCATAAAATATCCCCTAATTAAAACACTGAAAATCAACCGGGCATATCTTTTACACATCAATGGATTAAAAACCATATAAATATTTTAAAATCTTAATTTTCTCTGAAAAAAACAAATCCTTTAGAATCATTTGAAATTTCACTTTTAAGAGATATCTGCTGTGGCTGTCTTTCAGTACATGATTTTGTGCAGTGTTGAGGGAGCCTTATACTGGCATTTGAATACTATATAATGACTATATTAATAACATAATACAATCAGGTAACTGATACTGATGAGGTTGATTCTTTAGAGATTCCTCAGTGGAAGTATAAACTGATTTTAAAAGTTATACTATAGCATATTTTTCCTCTGTTTCAGGTTATCACCCAAACTGTATCTGTTTCCTTAATTTTTTTAATTTCGTTTGTTGTCACAAGGTTTTCATAAGGAACAGTTTGTGAAAATGTCATATATGGAAGAAGAAGAAAGAAGTGCTTATAGCTTCTAGAAGTGTCTATTAAGATGTCTCTTTTGCATTGAATCACCCAGAAGCAATGACACACTTTTGAAAAACAAATCACAGAACCCAGTACAGGGGCCACAATTTCCCATATCTGCTCTATTTATCGATTTTCAGGAAACCTTTGTTACGATTTTCAACTAGTAAACTTTATAGAACTTGTGTACATTTTTCAACAAATTCAGGTCCCTTACAACTCTCAACAGTGAAATATTCAAACAGTTAATATGTCTGTTGAGATACCGTATAAAACTTCCCATGTATGTAAGCATTTTCTTTTTCATTTCTGTGTTTTTCTTTACAGTAAGTTTCCTGTGTATTTATATACATATATATAATTTAAGGACTAAAAGGGACCTATTGGTCCGTCTAAGCCATCGTATCTACTAAACTAAACTTTAAACTGAAAATTAAATACTCAAAGGCAGTCCTTATGATTCAAATATTTATCAGCCTGCACTTAAATTAACTGCATCAACTACATCTGAAAGCAATCCATTAGAAAGTTCAACTGCCATCTTCGAAAAATAAAGCTACCTTAGCTGAAGATGACTCCTACCCTGCCAAAATGTATATTTTTGTCCCCTAATCCTACCATTCTCAACATTTAGTAGGGTAAAAAATGTGATGCATCAACATTATCAATTTCTTTAACAATTTTAAATATCTTAAATACATCCCCTCTAACTCTTTGTTTTTCAAGAGAAAATAATTTCATATATTTTAACCTGTTTTTGTATGACAAATTTTCCATCCCAGGTATCATCCTAGTAGCCCTCCTCTGAACCCTTTCCAACAATTCATTGTCCTTCTAAGGTAAAACACCCAAGAGTGAAAAGACTGAACACAATATTCAAAATATAGTCTAACCAATGACCAACACAATTTTTAAGTTTTTTACACTAGTTTTCAATAGTTCTGTAGATACAACCTAAAATGCTACTTGCTTTGCCACTACAGCAACAGCGTATTGCTTGGATGGCTCAAGGAATTGATCAACTAGAACACTAAGATCCTTTTCTCATAACACTGTTAATATTATTCCAATCAAAATTATATTCATAATTCAAATTATGATATCCCACATGCATTACCTTTCATTTATTATAATTAAAAGCCATCTGCCACTTATTCACTTAACTCATCTAATAATTGAAATCCTTAATTTTGTAAAGCAGCAGCATTCTTTTTACAGCCAGCAAAATCCAAAACCTAAATTTCATTAGCAAATTTAATTTATTGACCATTCCTTCATTTATGTCATTGATGTAAATCAAAAAGAGCAAAGGTCCTAATACTGAGCTCTGAGGTACCCCACTTGTGATATTAATCCAGTTTGACTAAACTTTATTTATGACAACCCTCCACTTTCTTCCATCCAGCCAGTTTTCTATCCAATGAATCAACTTATCCCACACACCTACAGAGAGAATTTTTTAACAAGCCTTTTATGTGGCATCTTGTCAAATGCTTTCTGAAAATCCAAATACATCAAATTCACACCCATACTCTCATCTACATAAGCAGTAACATTTTCAAAGAATCTCAAAAGATTAGTAAGGCAAGATTTTTTCCCCAAGTGAAGCCATGCTATCTAACAACATTTTAACCAACTACTGCCACTGGGATGTATATACTACACTAGGAAATATATGTCCCAGCCACAGTGAAAGGGTTAAAAAATTTTAAATCATTTTGCAAAGCATTATTTACCAGACTTATAAAATCTTTTCTCACCACTTACGTAAGTCTAATAGGCCTATAATTACCAGGACAATGTTATCACATTCCTTGAAAAGAGGAGTAATATTAACCCACTTCCACTTTTCTGATACCTGCCAAATATTCATGGACATAGAAAATAAAGTAGCATGTGGCTCACATATCCAATCCTTAACCTTCTTTGAAACCCTTAAGTAAATATTATCTGGCCCAGAAGTTTTATTTTTTAAACTACCCATTTTTTTAACAAGCTCAGAATTAATATGATAATCTTGTTTGATGATGTTTCCATCTATCAACTGTTCAGGATAAAGAATATATCTTACATCTTTGTTATTAAATATTGAACAAAAAATATAATTTAATAACCTAGACATCTCATAATAATCAGACATGAGCCTTCCTGTATCATTCCTCAAAGGCCCCTCTCACATCCTAACTCTTTGCTTACCCTTAGCATATTTAAAAAATCCTTACCATTCATTTTCACATTTTCAGCTTTAATTTTATCCTTTGGACCCTTTGTGAATCAACCTGGTTTTTTATTTGCAGACACCCTTTTTTTGCTATAAGAAACATGCCTATCTTGAACACTTAAACATTTATTTTTAAAAGTTCTCCACATTTAATCAGCATGTTTAATCAGCTGCCCAATTCACAACAGATAATTCTTGTCTCATCCCTTCAAAATTTGCTTTTTTGAAATCTGGAACCAAAATCTCATTACTTCTTATCTCCATATCAAGAAAAACACCAAACCTAATTCAGCAATGATCACTTACTCCAACTTATCAACCATTTCTATATTAGAAGCTAAAAATAAACCTAAAATAGCATTGTTCCTAGTAAATTCTTGACCAACTGGAGAAAAAAAAACATCCTTACCAGTTTCTAAAAACCAGTCTCCCTTATAAGTTTAGAATCTACATGCTTGAAATTGCCCCTCCCATAATTATGATATTATTAATATCTAAGTTCTTTATCCCAATGTAGAGTTTCTCATTAAAGTAAAAAAAAATCCAAATAAAATCCTCCTCCTTCTAGAACCATAAACAGAAAGTCAAATAGATTCAACCTAAATGCTATTAGCTTTGATATCCTCAATTTGAACAGGATGTAACTCACATTTTAAATATAAAGCTTCTCCTCACATTCTTCCCCTTATAAATAACCTATAAACCTAGCTGTATTTCAAAGACATTCCTGTCATCAGAATTTTATAATTCAACCAGGTTTTAGGTATTCCCATGACATCAAAATCTTCTTTTCTAACTAGTGCTATAAAGTCATTTTATTTCTTATACTTCTAGCATTACAACAACAACACTTTAGCCTTTCATGAAAACTACTTCTATACTTTATTCCTACACTATACTTTTCTCTATATCTTATTTTTTCTTCTGGCCCTCACCAATGTCTAGCCTAGTTTAAAATTTACTTTAAAGTTGAATGAATAGCCCTTGCAAACATGCCAAACCTTACCCTATTAAATGTAAACCATCCATTCCAAAAAACTCCCTTTTTCTATTGAACTTATCTTACAAATCCAACCAGCCAACCTGCTTGCCCTTTCACATTAACCTAAGCATTCAGCACCTCAAATAAGTCTTGGCAGTATCCCTGGGAGAATTAAGTTATTATGGCCCTTTTTATTAAATGCTTTTATCAGTCCCTTGTACTTATGGATTAGCTCCTATGACCTTCCCTTCCCTATGTCATTAGCCCCTTTGTGCACTACAAAAACTGAATCACTGCTATCACCTTTACTATATTGCTTGTTCTGTCAGTTATAGCCTCCACCCCTGCCCCTGGATAGCATAACCTAATTATTTCCTCTATTTACCAAACAGACTATCCTATCCATGTACTGTACAAATAAATCTCTTATAACTATGATCTCCTTTGTTTCCCATTCCCTTCCTTATCTGTCCCTTTTGTTCTCCTTCTTACCCTAGTTCTAGAAACATCTATGCCAAGGTATCAATGAATTTGACTTGTAACATTTTACACCATCAGAAAGTTTTTCTTTATTTGCATCTGTATTCTAAAACACAATGCAGTATCTGACTAGAATTCATTATATTGTATTATTTGTTAACAAGTAGTATTTAGTGTTTAGTTTTATTAATTGCTCTTTGAAATTTCTGTAATATTTCACATTTATACTCTAAAAAATTAGCATAATAAATATATGGTAAAGTTTAACATTGCAATTCAGAATTAAAACTCAGCTTAAGTTAGTTTCCCTGCACAGGAAATATTTCATATCTATTAGGAAGTAGCTGAGTATGACATTGTAGATCAATTTCAAGTACATTTTGTGTAAACATTCCTGTATTAATAATACCCAGAAAAATAAAGGTTGTTTAATTATGAGAAACTTTTAAAAAGATTAATCTACATTTAACACCCACTCCCTTTCACTCTTTGAATTTTCTCACCTTTTGAGTATCTGTAAACACAATTTTATATGAATTGGTCAATTCCACTATTATTAGTTTCATTAACTTTATCATAGTAAAACATGGCAATTATATATGTGCCATGCGTGTCAAGTTACAAGATATCACATTCTTTATTTTCATTGTGCTACAATGTCATGCATATATTATTATAATTTGCAGCAATCTTTTATTGGTAGTAATAAAATACTGTAAAAGATCAATCATTGCATATATATATATACTTAAACACTTACTGATTAGTATGTCTAGTTGATTATATTTTGAAGTGAACAGCCTGGAGCAGCATATTATCATAAATTATTTATTTTTTTATGTAATGTGATAATAGTATATTTAACATTATTTTCTACAGGACATACACTGCATCAGTGCCTTGCCCTCTGTTTGTCTGTGATCTTATTTTGAAATAAGCTTGCTGTAACAAGTGTAAACGTCCACCACCTGTTACAGGGTAATCTGGTTTATTATAGTCTGTGGGTTCTGCATATGATCTAAATACAAAGAAACATTTGGACACATCCAATGAAGGTACAGCTCAGTAGAAAATATAGGATCTTAGGAATGAAATAAGAGCTTAATATGGTTAAAAGTAGGAAGAAAAATGAAACATCTACATTTTTTAAAGCCTCAATGTTTATTTCCCCAAAAATGTTCACTTACTGACTACAGTTTGATATAGTAAACTATGCACAATTACCTTACAACTTTCATAACAGGGCTGCATGTTAATCCAGATGTTGGTGTTATTCCAGACTTGTTCAAGACCTAAGTATCGAGCATCATCTAAAGCTCGAACTTCTCCCAACAAAGGTTCGATAAAAAAAGCCTCTGAAACCTCACGATTTCCTGGCAACACAAGAACCCAAAAGTGAAACCGGAAACCATGCAGATTATCTGGTGGTAGTTTTACTAACTCCTAAAAATATACACACATATGTATAAGCAAAAAAGGAGCCATGTAAAGAAAGTGTCTGTATCATTTTCAATATTTTGTAATAAAAGTATTTAATAAATATGCACAAAAGAGCTTGAGTTTTTGATTATTTAATTATTTTTTACTATAACAATTAACAGGTAGTAAAAAACTGCTTAGATTCAAATATGATATACTATTGTTCTAAACATACAAATTTTTATACAGTTCAATGAATACCAAAAGTATCAAAATAAAAATAAATTAAGGTCACTGTCTCAGTAAAAAATTGCTCAAGTATATACATGTGTGTTTTGTCTAAAGCTGACAGAATGTTTAAAACAAAATTTAGTATATGAAGGTGTATAGAGTAGTTAGTTTTGGAGTTTTTTCCTTAATTCATTATTATAACAAATCAGTGTCACACCTTAGCAGGACTGATTTCATTACATGTTAGAAACTAAGTAAATTAAAACTTTTAATCAACTTACCCATCCGTAAAATCTTCACTCGAAAGGAAACTAAAAACTTAATGTACATGTATTATGTGGCAAGATGTTTTATTATGTTTCAACTCAATGTTAGCATTTTCCTTATGTGAAAATGTATTTCAGATAGATATTTACCTACCTTCACCATTAAGAGCTGTTACATCATGTGCAACTACAGAATTTCCTTCACATGCCACAAGCCATCTCTACACATGTCTATGTGTATCGTTTCAGGTTATGACATCATCTTCATAATACTGTAGCCTTCCACCACTAGGAGGGTGATGCAAACTCCATGCACAGTAATCCCTGTGAGCATCAACACATGATCATAGGCTCATTCTTTACAAAGCAATCAAAATGCACCAGAAGTGAGAAGGAAGGGTTGTAGGCGGTGCAGATAGTTAGGTATCTATCTGAAATACATTTTTCAGGTAAGAGAAATGTAACTTACCTCTCTGCCCCATTAAGAGCTAGAATCCAAATACTGAAGATGCTGATCAATTACAGAGATGAGCTCCTTTCTGAAATAGTAACAGAAAGGAAAAGTCATTGGGGTCTGACTTCCATGATATTGGAGGTTGCTAAGTGGAGCAGCACTAGGTGGAAGATTGCATCCTTTTCAAGGAGGAAATACCCACTGTGTTTTCATTGTTAAACTACTCTGATAGTACAGTAAAGGATACTAGGAAAAGCCAGTGCTGGTGGTTACGTGGTTCCAAGATGGGTATAAAATTAGAATGTGTAGTGTGGCTTGGACTTTAGGCTGTTCATTCTTGGTCAAATGCTTACATAAGACAGATACTATAATGACAGGTGGAGGGAGGAAGATCCCTCTGCTGTATCCTGAGACTAATTCAATTCCCATCCAGCTGGACATATCTACCTGTACTACACTTCCAGCTAACACCCTAGCCCCTACATCTCAATTGAGATGCCCATTTTGTCTCTTATTGGGTGGAAGGAATCACTCACAGAGGAAGCTCTCTATATCGATTTTCCCAGTGCCTTGGGACTAGGGAAATAAGGGTTCTCCTGTGTTCCACTAGAAGAACAGGTGGGGGAAAGAATTCACATAGGGGGAACACACCAGTGAATGTGTGCACAGACCACTGTCATCAGGCATAATCATCTGAAACTGGTTTTCCACTAAACGACAGTGCAATGAGTTATCACTGGTAGCTATGAAAGGGCACAATCTGGGTGAAATAGCAACAGACAGCCTCAACTGGACACAAAAGATGATCATGAACAAAATGATTACATAAGAGGAAAAAGAAGGGAGAGAGATAGGAAACAAAACAAAAACAATCACCTTCCTTGTCAGCCTAAGGCTTCAGACAAAAGGAGAGGTCAGGAAATAAATCAGTTGGTCTTTATGATATAGAGGATGAGAAGAAGCAAAGGTGTGAATGCCTGAATAATGATGACCACAAGTGAGTAGACAGAAAAAATGGCTGAAAGAAAGGGAATAGTACTAGTCAAGATGTGTGAATATTGCCATTCAGTAACTATCACTCATTTATATGGATGAGCCTACATCACAAATCCAGAAAAAGCATAGCTCCGAAAAGTGGATGTCTTCTTGGCAGGTGATGGAAGAAGTGAGGTAACCCAACAAGAAAAACAGAAACTTTTGGTAATTTAAAAATGCTGCAGACATCACCAGAATGTTGATAAGCAGAGGTTGCTTCACTAGAGACCAACCCCAGAGAGATAAGTGGAGATGATGAGAAATGTCTCCCTCCAAACCAAACAGGAAGGCATCAGTGTAAAGATACAAGCTGGGTGGACGAAGTTGGATGGAATACCCTGGATTATATTGGAGTGATTGAGCCACTAGGACAGAGAGTGAAATAAAGATGGATGAAGAGCACAAGGGCGGGTAAAGGATTACTGGACATGCTGCCACAGATCCCCCTGAGCCCATTAAAGGGAATGCCTGTGTAGAAAGAAGCCAGAATCCCCCAAAGTGAGAGAACCTCTCACAGAGGAAGAGAAGGAGAGTAAAGAGCCTTAGAAAGCAAGATTTCCATGGTGTGAAAAGGCAAGAGAGATGGTTGAGCCCACCCTATATGAGAATCAAGCAACATCTCAAAAACACCAAGATCAGAGGGAAGAGGAGAGGTGAGAGGATTAAGCAAAAGAGGAGGTGGAGTATGAAAAGGAAAGACAGATCTTAGAAAAGAGCTTGCACAACCCAAAGGTTGCCAGTGAAGAGAGGCTACAGGTGTGCAAGGGGGGAGAGGCAGGCACTGAGCATTTCATAGCTAAGAAACAGCTCCAAGGAAGGATAACCACTGAGAGTTTCAATGGCCCACCCTGTAAGAGAGGAAATGCTGAGTAGAAGTGATAAGATGAGAAACAGGAGAGGGCATAGTCCCACGAAAGTTCCAAGGTTGGGTAGCCAACTGAGATATCTATGGTCTAATGTGAAGATATGTGGTAGCTAGAGAAAGTCATGCTGCAATCAGGTAGATGAAATGAAAGTGCAATAAGAACAAAAATGATGTAGCACTAAATAAAGAAAGGCAGTTAATCAAAGCAAATAGAAACTAAAAAAGGACTGGAAGAAGACACACACCTGAATACAGGCAAAGCTGAGGAAAGAATGAGCTAATGATTATGTGCTCACAGAGATTACTGAATATGGAGGTTGTGTCATAGGTCAGTGCATTACTTGTAAACATGTGTAAACAGGGGTAAGTGTTTATTCCATGCTTGTGGCATACGTAGGAAATTCCATGGTAGTTGCTCATGGTAATAGCTCTTACTGGTGAAGAGAGACAAGTATTGCTTCAAAGGATTAAAGCATTACATTGATTTTCTTAAAACTTATGATTCCCTGTTTTTCAGAATAATATCCCCTGTGAACTTTGAAGTAGAATGCAAGCTACACAAGCCATATTTAAAAATGTAGACACAACATTCTAATCCATTATCCATGATTGATTTCTGAACTCAAATTCCATGATTCATGGATAAGATACAGTGTTGAATAGTATTCTAGATAGAACAACTCATTTGAAAAGATCCCCGTCCCACGAAACATGCTCACCCTTTCAGCCGTGGGGGTGTTATAATGTGACGGTCATTCCCACTATTCATTGGTAAAAGAGTAGCCCAAGAGTTGGTGGTGGGTGGTGATGACTAGCTGCCTTCCCTCTATTCTTACACTGCTAAATTAGGGACGGCTAGTACAGATAGCCCTCGTGTAGCTTTGTGCGAAATTCAAAAAACAAACAAACAATCATTTGAAAAGATGCACTTTGTGCTTCATTTCTTGAACCCACACCTTCATATAGCACACATTTAGAAAATTCTCTATTTTAGCAAGTACCTTAGAAAATAAGGTGACATACCCTCCATTGATTTCAAATTTGGTTTACAAAAGGAATAGAGATGCAATGTTTCTACAAATTAAGGCATATTAGTTTTAGTTGAAAAGAAGAAGTGTGAATTTAATTCAGTTTCTTTCCAGTCATGGTGGGTATTGTTATGAAATTACTTTCACATACTGTATGAAAAATCTATTTATTTGCATACATAGATGAAGTCTTTAACTAACTGATGGATCTCTAAATGTTTAATTGTTTAAGTTAAGAAACTGATATTATATACTAAATATTAGTTTTAAGTTAAACCCAAATTTCTCTGAACTAATCTATTGATTACATAATGTTAAAAACTCACACTAGATTTTTCTTCTTCTTCTTCTTTTCTCCTTTTCTCCTCATCAGCATGCTCTTCCTGTAGTTTTCTTTCTTTAATCATCTGTTCATATTTACTATTTAAGTCCTTGGGGGGTTTAACAGCATATTTTTGCTCAATTTTCCTCTTTTCTTCTGATCTCTCCTATATGCATTGTTATAATAAAGAAAAATCTTTGGTATCTATTATCATTACTTTGAAATACTAATCTTCAAGAATAAGAAACAAAAAATCATATGGTTTTTTTAAAAGAAGTTTTGTACAAATTAGAAAACAAAGAAATGAAAAATATGTCATATCTGTAGCATAATATTCTACATTTATTTATAATATGTAAAATAAGTTATTTTGATTTCACATAAGTCTCTAGCATTTTTCAAGTAAATGTAGTGCAATCAAATAAAAATCCATTTTCATATACATCTATGAAATATATATATTTTCATATATATATAGAGCCATGAAATACTTATTTTCATATATACATATTTCATAATTATGACCTACAAAAAAGAAATATAACAGTATATGCTATTTTTACCACTTCATCATCTTGCAGGTAGGGACAATTTTTCATGCTGGTATCCATTAAACAAACTTCTTTTGTGGCATATCCACAAACTACATATGCATCATAGCCCACACCTAGAAGTAAGGAGCATAACAGAATGCTGTAGTCTAGACTGTTTCCTTCACGGCATTTTAAAAGATACCATGGAGAAACCACACGCTTTGGCTGAAAAACAATAATATTTTTACAGTTGTAACACATGCTCGTAGTGAGAGAAAATTGTAACTCAAAATATGACTTGTCTTTGTTGAATATATAAGACTGTCTAGTGTAAGAGTTATTGTTTGGTTGATTTAATATTTAATGATTATTTAGTTTTCATAACAAGAGTGTCAAAAGTAATTATTTTAAAGGCAAAAGTTATGACAACTTTCATTACATAACTTGGTAACAGTTGTACATCGTGTATGCAGTTTAATTGTTGTAGTATTGTTGACGTCATCTTTCTTGAAACCTCTAAGTTTTTCTTGCTATGTGGGTATTGTTACATCATAGCATCTCCTTGTTTTTAAAAAGTTTCAGGCCTCAGCTGGGCAAGGTATATATATATATATATATATATATATACAAGTGACCAACTAAGTGCAAGTAAGAAAAAGTTAGTTGGTTAGTTAAAGAAAATGTGAAATTAGCTGGTGTGTGAGGGATTAGCCTAAAAGGTGATTTCTATAGTGTGTTTCACAGCTGTATTGTAACAACATAGATAGGAAAACTAATGCCAGTTGAGTTCTGAAGTAACTGAATCAGCCTGTGTGGATTTTGGATGAAATAAAAAGAGACAATTATTTAAAGCTCTGGATACAACTGTGGTAACAAAAGTTAAGTGAAGTTAGACTGTGTGATTGTTAGTTTAGCCATAATGGGCAATATTTAAAGTGAGTTTCACAGTTAACAGGGATAAGGAGAATAATTTGTCTTGTCAAAGTGTGTTCTAAAGTAACTGAACCTGCCTATGTGACTTTGATGAAAAGGAGACAATTATTTAAAGTTCAGGATACAATAGTGGTAACCCATGGGGTAACATAAGTGAATTATGCACTGATACTATTGTGATAAGAGTAGAAAAAAATAATTCATCTTGTCAATTGTATTCTAATCTAATTGAATCAGCCTGTGTGGACTTCTGACAAGAAAATAGAATTATTTAAAGTTTTAGATAAAACTGATTTCCTATAATGTAAAGAATTTTTGTACAAACATTTGACTTGTTTTGAATATATATATATATTATTTTAAAACAAGTGGAGTGTGTGTTGTCTGTTTATTGTTCAAATTTATCGCCAACAAGTCACAGACACCTACTGTAGAAGAATCCCATCCCCACTTATATTTAAAACCCTGACAGTCTTTACCCCTCCTATACTAATTTTTCTTAAGGATATTGAGTCATGGAAAAAAATGCCTTTTATGTGGATTAAATTATCAAATTTTTATCCCATAATATGTCAAAGAAATGCAGATGTGCTCCAGCTCTAACTGTAACATAATGTACTAAAAGTGAACAAATAGAAATCAAGTACTTAAGCATATCCACATATGTGTTAAGTTTCATAAATCATGAATAAAATTTGTGACATTAAACTGTATCTAAACATTCAGTATTTGAAAGCGTACTTAGTTTGTCTATTTCCAAGTACATTTGTAGTATATGCTTTAATTATTTCATATACAACTTATTCATTTCACATCATGAGATTTAAAACAGGTAGTATGCAGTTAGCATATGTTGAAGTGGTGATATAATGTCAGAGAAAGTTTCTCTCCATTTTTTTTTATCATATTCCTGAAAATATATGTTTATGAATTTGTGCTGAGCCTATGATCCTCATTAGTAAAACACTCCTATTTGGTTACATCTATTTAAATTCCAATTTACTGAGAGCAAAGCTAGTTCTATTTAGACTATAACACATTTGATTACACATAAAATATTCTTAAAGGTATTGTTGTGATGTTGTTCTTTCATTGGGTGAATTCTTTTAAATTATTCTGGGAAAATAATTTTGAAGTCCAGTTCAGATAATGATAAAAAAATCAGTTTATTTCTTCCATAACATTTCTAGTACAAGTTTCTTTTACTTGTACGTTGTTTTAAGTTGTAAGTTGTAGACCTAAGTAACCTTACAAATGATCCTCAAATGGAAATACCATGACTAAAGTAAAAAATACGCTAACTTGGTACTATATTTCATGACCAATTTATCGAGTAACTGACTATATGCAATAATTAATTAATACTGATCCAAATACTTCATGAAAACTAAATATTTCACTAACTGACTGACACTCTATCAACTCAATACACATTTACTACTCAGTGCTCGCTCACTAACTGAAAGCAAAACACACACACACTCAGTGCTTCACTGATTCTTGTATTTGTAATATAGTCTCATCTCTCAATACACCTTGAATTTACTAGATTTTCAAAATGTCAGTTTAGAACTTTCTGTGCCTACTCCCACAAACTTACTTGATCTTAATGCCATACACTCTCTAGTAAACATCCAAATTAAAATATTGAAAATACAATAGTATCATTAGTTAAATAAACTACCTGATTTAACTAATGAGAAGTGATTTTAATAAATTAATCAGTTGCAAATGATAAACAACTTACTTTTTCTGTTGGTGGATCAAGTGGCTTAAATGAAAGAAAATCAGCAACAAAGCAAGCACAGCCAGTCCATGTGTAGAGCTCAGCATAAGGTAAAAGAGTGGGGCGTAATGTAGTGCAAATTAGTTTCTGAAAACAGTAAAACAGTATCTACAAATTTATAACAACATAAATCCATAACTAAACAACTATAATTGCATTCAAAACAAATTACAAAACAATTTACATAAATTATTGCAATTATCATAACTAGTATTTATGTTTTCTAAATAATAACATCACATAAATAATCATTTGAGTACCACATATTTAACAATCATCAAGAGTTCAAAATATTACAATAAAGAAAACAGTTCTGGATGCAAACAGTTGTCATAATACTTTCATGTAAAAAGTTTTAATTGAAGCATCTATATGGATATACAAGGCACAAAAATCTATATGTCTGTCTGTCTGTTTTCTAATTACTCCTAGATTGCTGGGCCAATCTCAACTAAACTTTGTGGGATGGTAGTTTGGAACAAGGGGCATGATAATGGGAGGTTAACAACCCCCTCCACCCCTCATTATTGTTGTTATTGAGCATTTAATATCTATGATGTAAGATAATGTTAACTTCATTCATAGATGGTGCTACATCCTTATACAAAAAAAATATTAACTTTCCTATAACACAACACACAAAAAGTGTGGGGGGATGGCACACAAACATCTAATATATCTCAGACAGTGCATTATCACTCTCTATGGAGGAATGTAATGAAAAAAAAAATGGCTGTAACTATTGCAATAATACATATACTCAGCTGAAGTTTCTACTCCAACAGCCACCATAAGGCTGATATGTGATATGAAGAGTCGTTTCTTAAGTTATACCCACTTCCTACTTTGACCCGTGGTGTTTAAACTTCAGCCCATAAGACACTTCTGTGGCCAATGAATTCAATTAATTAATCATGTGAACACTGTGGAAGGATATTAAGTGCAGGGTGATAAAAGCGGGTAACAGAAAGCACCCCTACTGCAACTACTTTGGCTGCTACCTCTTAATACAAAGTCACCCTGATCATCACACAGTGTATACCATGTTTTAAGTATATATATACATATTGAGTTCTTAAACCTTATACAAAACGTTTGGTGAGATAATGATGAATACTGTAATAATATTTACAAGTTATAGACAAGTTTGGTACAGTTTTACCTTACTATCTGCCTCTTTTAGCTCATTACACAGCCTGCACACACTTACACACACACACACACACGCTCATACATGTATATGTGATTTAGTGAGTAAAGTATGTGCATATTGCTTAAACCACAACAACAATTCTAAATTAACTGACTGGTCAAAACGTCAATAAAGAGTAGAAAATTGGGCCCATGACAAACTATGTATATTACTGCTTCTTACTATTAAAACTCATTTTCCGAGTTTTGGACCATTCACTAGCTAATTTATTAAATAAGACAAACAATCTCACCAGCATCAGCTCTTACTATATTTTAGTATCATCAGGAAATTTAAAAATACTATTATCAAACAACCCCATCCAGTTCATTGCTTAATTGTGTTACATACAACAAGTGGGTTGTATTAACACTTCAGCTATTTAAGTATCTGAAATAAATGATTGATTTCATATATTTTAAACAAATCTATGAGAACTCTGTCAATATGTAGTTGAAAACACAGTACACAGTAATGTCATACCTGAATACCACACTCATTATATGGAAACAGAAGTGGAGGACTTCGATCCTGATACAGGAAACAAAACTGCTGTCTAAATTGTTCTGCATACTCTAGAATTTTTTCTTCTTTTGGAGTTGTAGTTTTGTGAGATACAGGAACTTCTTCTAAATTTCTATACAATTTAAAACTGAATATTTATCAAATAAATTTGTTTTAACTTTTATGTGTTGTAAAATTATTCTACAAACTGTACAAAATTTTAAAAGAATATCACAGAAAGTTGTTCTGTAATCTAATCTTTATTTTTTGTTCTTTTTGTAATAAACAAAATACATTAAAAAATCCTGATAACAAAAACTGAAAATGTCATTTGTTTATTACAAGAAGAACAAAAAGTTAAGATAAGATTTTGGTGCAATTTTCTGTGATAATCTTTCAAATTTTGTGCATTTTGTCAAACATTTCTTTTGTAGCTACCATGTAAAGGTTGTTTCAAGTTTAAATAAAAAGTACTAATTTCAGTAGATATATAGTTATTTTATAGAGCACACCATATTGTAGTATATGAATACAACATGTGTTTCTAACTCCTTCTAATATTATAGTATTTATTCTGAATTTATCATTCATTCTATATATATGTGCAGGTTTCACATAGCAAGTGGTCGAGAGAGCTGTTAAATTCATTTCAGGCTAGTTGCCTTTGTTTCTTTGTCATTCTCTGGAGATATTACCTGTGTTTCTATTCATGGGTGATATTGTTGTAATGCTGTATATTGTGCAAGGACACTGACAGCACTGTCCTCCAATTGTAGGTCAGGTGATATTTCAACACTACGACTTACCTTACATTTCAATGGGATTGACCAACAGTGACCTCAATGGCTCATATATTTTAAGAATATAGTGTTATAGACATTGGGTATATAATACTATGGTCTCTTAGTTATCTCTCACTCTCTCAAACTCAAGCCCTCAGTTTGGTGAGTGAAGTATAAATCCTAACTAAATAGTATACTCTCCTAAAATTTAACATGCAAGAGTAACTAATTAATTCTTATCAAATGCCTTTATAAGTGGCTAGAAGAGTATAGAGAGCTAAATATGCAGTAAAGGCACTTTTCTTTGTCCTGCTCACATTATTTTGATTGTTTTCACTGTATCTTTTACATTGTGTCCAGTCCCTTTCCTTCTCAAATTCAGAGAACTCAGAATAACTTCCGAATAGATATCTTGTTGAATCTCCTGTTATTATGTGAAAATATCCCTTTGCTCTTATGCAAATTCAGTTTTACCTGGACATACTACAGAGAGAATAGGAAGTTGAAAATTTGATTGCCATTACCAAGATATCTCATTGCAAAGTTTTCTGGTTTTGCTGGCATGTGTGTATATTGCCTTTTATTCCTACTCTTATGGGATACAACTTTAAAAAGATTTTTTAGTTATGATAATGGCATTTTCCACAACTAAAAGGACTTACAATCAAGAGGAAGGGTTGATCACTGAAAGTAAACAATTGTATCAGAGAGTTTTCAGGTCTAGGAGAAAACCTTTTCTGGACATTGATGCTACATAGATCCATGACTTCTTTCACACTGCTGTTGCACACTCAGGAAGGAGAATTGCCAGAATCTGTTGCATCCAAGACAGCTGATCAAATTCTCCATCTGAGAATTTACCTCAGTGTGAGGGAAGCATGGACAACTGAGGGTCATTGAGGTGTTGTGGTGTCTAGCAAATTTGAGCCAGAATACGGTGGTCTGTATAGAGCTCCTAGGCTGTTAATAGCCAGAGTAACTCAACCCCAGCCCTAGTCAAAACCATTCAAGACTAGTCAAGAGAAAATGGAGGTGCTATTAATGAACAACATCCATCAATAGGATCTATCTCACCTTCTGGTGAGATAGCAAGTACTAAATGGTGAAGTATGTGGGCTATGGAGAAGTGGTAAGCTTCTCCAAGCTGGATGGTATACTGCTAAAACAACCACAAATCACAAAAATTTCTGGAGTTGTGCAGAGCTAATGATCAAGCTACTAAACACACTTCACCATTCTGACACTAGAACAGGGGTCTATCATTTGTCAGAGTGTCAGGGTCTCAAGTACGCTCACCACACATTACCTCGAGTGTTTAGGATATCTGAGTCTGGTGTTTGCCAAGTGTCCATGGAAGAAAAGCTTAAGACACTCTCACAGAACCCCATGAGTAAGGGTATGCAGATTTCTCTCCAAACTTTTAAGTATACAACCAAGGAAAGTGTGCACCACTTCCTTAATAATTTCTGATGGGTCACTTTCAGAAATGAAAAGATTCATAGACTGCTAGTGCAATGCCTGATACGGACTCTGTATGTTTCAATACTTGAATCAATCAAGCATTTTGATAAGGGGGAAAGAGCTGAGAGTACTTGTCTAGCTGTTCACAGCAAGCCAGAAGAAGTTATGGAGCTAGAGACAAGAGACAGTTCAGATTGACATGACTAGGATTAAGCCCAATCATCAACATTTACGAAAGACATTGACTGGAGAACCACTGGTAGAAATGAAGTTGTGATCTTTGAATATTAGAATTAAATGAAAATTAAATATCCTGTAAGGTTTTGTTTTTTAGAAACACATGTATTTCACGGAAAACTCACAAGTACTTTATTGAACTGGAATTCAGAAAGATTTTTAACTAAAAATATGGCAAAAGGTTAACAAGTACATTAAGTGGAGATTTGGATCATCTTAATGGACTAATATTTTTATTATTTCTTGAAAATACCATTATATGTAAGAGATTTATTTATGCTTTGATAATATTGTCAAAACATATTTTCTTTTCAACATTTGTTAATTATCCAGGATCTTGAACTACACAGTGTAATTATTGGTCAGTTAAATGAACCTTCTGAATAGATAAGTGGTATTTTATAGTTTAATATATGTTTTTAGATAATACTGCATATGAAATGCGAATTAAAACAGACATTAATTCAAAGATTAGTAGCAGTGTGAAAGTTTTATTGAAGAAGTGGATGAAAAACATCTTGTGCTATTTAGAGAAATTATATTGGATAATACATGAATATGTGTGTTAAAAGGGCATCAAAACAGAAAACTTTGATTAATGATGTGTGACACAAATGACTCTCAGAATGGCAGACAAACCATTAAGATAATCCAAAACCTTTCAAACTGTACAAGCATTCAACAAAATGTAGTTTTCTCTGTCCAGAAACTATTCATCTTAGCTATAAAAATAACTGAAGTTAAAGGCACATATTATCTTGTTTAAGAAATTAAAATATTCTGTATGGAAATAAATCTGAATCAAAGCTTTTACAGCTTCTAACATTAACCTTTACAATTCAAGTCAATCTTTCTATTCCATTCTTCTAGGAATCATTGAGGGTTATTACACATTTTGAACATTGATCATAATAAAATCCTTTGATTTTCATCTATCACAAAAACATTAACACTTTGCTATGTTTTTGTTTATTGACTTTTTTTTGCAAAATTTTATATTCAATAATTTACATTAACTTTTATAAAAAAAGAAAACCTTGCATAAATTTATGATCGCTTCCTCCAAAAGCTAAAATTATATTAGTTTATGAGGTCACTATTGTAAATATTAAGTAAAATTTATATTTACCATTACAAATGTGTATTTACAAAAATATTTTATGATTAACACTTTAAATTGTATGAAATTTGATTTTTTTCCCTTCTTTAACTTTGACAGTTATACTGGTATAGCCATGTTAGTAAAAATCTTGTAAAAATCACTTACACAAGTGGTGATTCTTCATGGACAGATCCACTGTGCAAGACTAATTCTTTCAAGTCTTTTGTATGCTGGCTGGATACAGCATTTCTTCCATCATGATTATCATTTATGTTTTCATTGTTGCAACTGTCATTCATATTCCTTAATATTGTCACTTTTTCAGACACAGTATCAATCTTAATGTACCCATTTTACACTTTGCTTCATTTCGTCTGTGGACCAATAGAAATCTACATATTAATGGAATATGACCTAAATTGGAGATTTCTTGCCTCATCCATTAATTTTTGAAAATAAACTACAATTTATATTAGTAAGAACAATGAAAGTTTTACTCTTTTAGCAATAACTATATTTTAATAAACAGAAACATATTCCCAACCTTAAAATTTAATAAAACAACAGCTCATTTGCCCACAATAACTCTTTTTTGTTCTGTCGTAAGCGGACCATACACATTATACTGCCAAGAAAACAGACTTCAAAGTTAAATTAAAAAAACATACCTTAAGGACTAATATTTCATATCTACCTTCTAGTAAGATTACATGGATAAATGCTTAAGAAATATGTTTTAACTGATACTATATAATTTGGTAAACATGTAAGAAAGATTAATCATTAACACTGTGTGCACATGCCACAGACTTTTACAGAGTGCCATTTAACATGCTATTATGTATTTGGTGTCAAAGTTATTAGATATTCATATTACCTTACACTGCTGACTTAGAAACACTTCATAGTAGAGTAAATACCAGAAACAATAAACAGATATACTGAAAAAAAACTGTAGATATGCATTTTAGAGGTTATGCAAATGCAATATACAAGGTGTATGATGGACAAAAGAATCTGTATTCTTCACATGACTGTCACCTTGTACTCTGACAAGTCAGGCTGACACCACCAATTTACAAACATATCTATAGAACAAATATGTTTGTAACATATTTGATTTTTTATGTACATTTTACTCAAAGCTAGCCACATTTTGTGAAGATATACATATTAAATTTGGAATTATAGTCAACATTCCTTCTCCAATATGGAGTCCATCCAATGAACCGACCAAGTGCACCTTTGGCTAAGGTTAAAGTAGGCTACATATTAAGGTCAATCACCTATCTATCCATCAATACAACCAATAATAAAACAAAACTATATTAAATAACAAATCCATTTTTTCACACTCACATATATCCATCTAAAAGCTATTTAATTTAACACAATTTAACTCTATAAACCATACTTGTCTTTATACATTTTTGGGGCTATACAACACTAGAGTTACACGAAATATATGTTATGATTAATGTTTAAACAAATTACAATTAAAAGTCAATCAAGTTTTCAAGCACAACTTTAATTTAGTAATTTAGAGTATAAAGAAATATGCTTATATTTAATAAGTCTGAAACTGGAGTAGGCTGTCTTAATTTTAGATTTTTAATTGAACTTGAAGTCATTATAATTAAGGACTTCTGAGTGAATATAAAGAAGAGTGTATACCAATATTTCAACTCACTGTAATTGTTATATCCTGTGCCTACGGCTCCGTATACAACTACAATGCCTTTTGCATGGGATTCTTTAGACCGGCTTGGATACAACAGCCATTAGTAATGGTTGTGAAGCTATTTATATTAGGAAATTCATTGATGACAACTCTTGAGGTGTGAACTTAGCATTAGGCTGAGTATCGCTAAAGATTTATAATTTTTCTACATATATTGAAAATAATTAGAATAAATGTACAGTTCTAATGATATGAAATTAAAGAAATGAGTCTCATAGATTACATCCATTCATAAGCCACATTTAAAATTAATAGAAATGATACGCACTATTAACAAGAAACTAAAAACAAATAAAAAATACTAAAATAAGAAACACGTATGTTTATGATACTATAATATGAATAACTGTGACATCTTTATATATATATATATAGTAAAAAACATTTTTACCTCGACGTTTCAATTTGTTGCTTCTGTACTTTAATTATGAAGTTAGCAGATAATGCTGGTAAGGTTATTGTTGATTACCAAGTGACGCTGTTGTTATGACAACAGCAAAATATAAGCCAAACGTGTAAACACTGTAAAGGATGATTTGATAATTTATATAACTATAGTAAAACACTGCAGTCAATATTTGAACAAAATGTTTTTATTTTCCACGTCAGTAACATGCAATATGAACATAGAAATTCTCGTGAAGCTGATATATAAAAATAAACCAACATGTACCTTATAAGAAATGTATCCAAAACAAGTAAAACTAAGCTGATTTTCAGCGACTTTGAATACGTTTAATTTAATGATTAATAGGTTCACTTATTTCCTGTAATAGTTTTAACAAATATTTGGTATTTTTATGTAGTCTATAATAGAAACATACCCTATATTTCTAAGCATATAATTTAGAGCAATAATATAATCACTGATTAAATATATTATAATTTAATCTAAGAGACACTTAAACACAGTTCATTTTTCGATCTTTGGATCAGGAGATGGAGTTCTTCCATTCACCTTCATGAACCAGTCAAGTAAATGACATTCCGATACAAGAAGTGATTTTGGACTAAATCTCATAAGCATCGAATAGGACCGACTGTGTATTGCTTCCAAGGTTAGTTTTGGTACACGATTTGGAAATTGCGTGCTTATTATCAATTGTTTTAATTCTGATGAATAAATGTTGCGTAGTTCTCCTGACATGCATCGTTGAAGAAACACATAAGGAGTCTGAGGCAAGTCTAATGGGTACAAGAATGCAGAATCTCCGAAGCTTGTAGTTGCCAACTTACAAAGAATATGTCCAAAATACCAAATTGCCTTTGTTTCTAAAATTTCAGGGTTTAAATGAGCCAGTGAGTTTTTAAAGCTAGATTTTTTCTTTTTGACTCCTTTTGTGGTTATCTGACGTGCATTGATATTACCTTGTCGAAATATGGACCCTCGTACTGACTCAATGCGAGATTTTCGGGTCAATTCATTTTCCAAAACAACAGTTTTTCCAACCATAAAGATGTTATCTAAACCGAATGGTCCATAGCGAAGTCCGCAGGACAACATGTGAAGCAGTATCGAACTTAATTGGTAAGATAACTCCCATAACTGACCTTCAGGGATGGTCAAGCCACAACTGAAAATCAGAGCATGCACGTGCTCAAGGGTTGCTTGTGGGACGTCTAATAGATAGAAATTGTTACCTGTTGATTCATCAGTGACTTCAGCATAAACACACATTAGGTGTTGGTGGCATATTTTAATCCAACGTTGTCGTTCCTTATCGCAATTTTCATTAAGTTGGTGAAGACCAGTCCCGTAAGCAGCGAGATACTCTTGACCATCTAAGCGGCATTTAACACGATACGTTAAAGCTCGGTGGTAGAAGTTTAAGTTAAATAAATCAGTAAATGGAGCACATTCAATTTCTTCAAAATCGTCAGTTGAAAAACTCAATAGATATTGCACTAGAAACGCTGGTAAACGTATTTTATCTTTATGGTACTTTAGTTTTCGTAACGAAGAAGCTTTAACAATTGCCACTTTACATAGCTTCTGCAGATTTGGTGGTTTATACAAGTTCTCTGACTCTGAATATCTCTGCCGAAATGGTCGGTAGCTGTGCACGCCAGAACCTAAAGCTCGAACTAAATTTTCCATTCTCTAATATTAGTCATTAAGGTCTTGTCAAGACATTATATCTATTCGCTTCAGTTTTGTCCTCCTAAACTTTAATCACTTCAATCACCCAATGTCTCGTTGCCAGAGTATGATCGAAAAGGAATAAAAGAAAATCATGTTGTGTCCACAACAATTTGCCACCAACATTAAAAATGTCGTAACAAAAATCTCGAAGATCATGAAACGTTGAGTCAGCTCTACCGATATACTAGCCAGCAATGAAGTGACTGACTGACGTAAAACTTCTTTCAGGAAAGTCAAAAATAACTTTTGCGTCGTTGGCAAGAATATCTGGGGAAAACAATTCTACGGAAGACTGTGCTTTCTTTCGCAAGGATGCTACTTCAGGCCCTTCACCTTCATCAAGTTATTTGTAATATAAGAAAACAAAAATAAAATGGTAGAGCATACACGTATGAAAAAATAGCATCTTTCAGAAAACTTTTTTTTTTTCAAATACACTAAATTTGAAGAAAGTTAATTAACAAGTACGGTTATATTAAGAACAAATAAGACATTCAAACTTTCCATATTTGCAGGTATTTTGCAATGTTCCCAAAACTTTATAGCTTTAAAAGGACCGTCACACTGCTAAGTACAAATAAACCAAACTTATTCTCCTGCACGTATTGTGATGTTTTACTGCAGTTTATACACACAAGTCTTATCAAAACGCCTCCAGTGGGTTGAAAACTTTAATGGACTGCAACTGCCTACTATGTATATTATGCTTAAAAAATCCACTGACCCCACAGCCCCACTCACTGGCTCAGCGGCAAGTTTACAATCCTGAAATGCTTAAAATCTCGTTTCAATACCCGTGGTAGGCAGAGCGCAAATAACCCATTGTGTAGGGTTGTACTTAACAACGACCAAAACTTGGCAAAACAAACTTTCCAAAACTGGCTAGATTTGTCTCTTTTTTTTCGATCATTAAAAATATTAAGAATGTTTATATATTATTTATGCACGTTTTAACTGATGTTTTTATCAATGATATGTTTTAACAATTTTTAAAAGAATATGATTTCTTTTTATACAGGAGATTTTAAAGCGTGTTACATTCAACTACTTTTTTTTTTTTCGTACAGCTGAGATGAATGTTCAAAAACAAATAAAATAATAATAATGAACAACACTATCAGCTGTTGGCAACGGGACAACTACGCAAACACTTGGAAATAGTACTGGTATCAGAAAGTTTGGTGTCATTCCAGCATTGGTTTGAGTCTCAGCCTGTTCATTATGACGTACAGAGCGTAAAAGAACTTGAAAAAAAACAAACAAACTTGGTAAGTGCAACATGTGAAGTAGTGTTAGTATAAACAGCTGTTCGAGATTATGTAAACGGTTAAGATAAAAAGAGAGAGAGAGAAAGAGATTTCACTGTTCTGTCGAAATCACTTAAAGTGTTTCAACATTTCTTCTTGTACTATTTACTTTTGGAAACAAGAACGACAATTATTTTTAGACACATAAATTATGTTAAAAAATTATGCCCCATGAAAACACACGAAATATAATACTTATAACAAATTATCATTTATATTTCTGTATATTAATATAGATTTATTGAATCTCTTCGCAAATTTTAACAAATTTTTTGTAAAAATTATGAAAAGAAATCTTAATAACGTACTATGACTTATTTTGAATTTCCACATATATATAAAAAAACAATATTGCTCGATGGCAACAAGAGAATCAAAGAAAACATTGAATACTTGTGTGGGACTTGAACAAAGGAGATGTATATTTTCAACATATGAAACTGCACAATAGTTATCTATGCTATTGGGATCGAACCCTAACTTTTGAGGTAATGAGCTCTCAAGTTTACTGCTGAGCCATTAAAGAATAAAGCAATGTAACAGCAGTAATCTCACCACACACACACAAATTAATTGCTTTCATAGTATTGAATTACATAATTAATAAGTGGGTTTCTGGCGTTACGATATGTCTTGCTATGGATAAGCAAAACAGAAAACAAGATATTTCTAGTCGAAAACTATCAGATTTACAAGTAATACATTTTCTGTAAATTCAGGTTAACTTAAGCAACAAACCTATCTATATATATATATATGAGACTAAAGTCTGTCTGTCCCCAAAACTACTCTCACAGCTTAAGTCTGATTTGAATGAAACTTAATTTGCACGATTTTTCAACATCACAAGGGGAAGTTCCTAACAAAGTTTTATTACAATTGGGTCTCTTATTTAGAGCACGTGTCCTCTTTAAGAAAAAAAATCGCATCAAAATGAAAAAATTGTATAAAATAGATCCTCGCTAATATTGAAAAATAATAGAATCATATTTTATAACATTTTTTTTCTAAATCTCTTCTTTAACAGAGAAATGATACTTCTTTTCTTTTTAATAAGGTACATTAATTTTGTACATTTATTATTATCAACTAAATTAATTTCTTTATTAAAACTGCGGTAAATGAGTTTAATGCAGAATTTAAAAGAGAGTCTTTCCAGTAGAGAATCATTGTGCTATTTCAGAAGAAAAGTGACTTTTTCTGCTGGAGAATCCAAGCGTACACTATGAATTGAATTGTTCTGTGACCGAAGGAATCGCAAGTCCTTCATACGGAGTTAGATGCATACCAATTTGCAGGAGTTTTATAGTTTTGTAGTAAGTTACACAAGTATTTTTTTTACTTCAGAGTGAGAATAAAGTGATCAAAAACGTCAAAAATCACAATGCCAAAAATTGCCAAACGGAAGAGTGACTTATCGCGGAGAAAGTCTGAAACTTTGAGAAAGAAAATTGAACGTCAGGATGCAAGTTACAGAAAGAAATAGCAATAAAGAGATAGTTTTGCTCACTGAGTTATGAGGCAAGATCCAGTGAGAAGAAGTCAGAAACAAACCTGCTAGTTAGCTATAAGACCGCAATGTATACAGGGGATTCGGGTGATTTGAATGTATAATCAGTGGCGTAGCAAGAGGGGGCAGTGGCCCCCGGGCGCAGGTGTGAAGGGGCGCAAAATTTTCTCTGGCCTATAATGCCTATTAATTAATAATTATGCCCTCC